CTTTTTTTTTTTTTTTGTCTTTTGTCTTTTTTTCGTGACCGGCAACGGATCGCAACCCTCAGTGTCGCGCCCGTACTGGGCCGGGACCGGCAACGGAATCGCAACCCTCGGTGTTGCCCCTGCTCCTCGCTCAGCCAGTGAGCGCCGGTCTGTATGTGGGATCCGAACCCTCGGCAGGAGCGCCGCTGCGCTTCCCAAGCGGCGNTGCGCTTTCCAAGCGGCGCACTGTAGCAGTGCGCCACCGGGCCGGCCCTTAATTCTCCAACTTCTTAATATTGAGGTGCCACGAACCAAACCTCCTCTTTATGTAGACTCACTCATTTTCTAATTTCATGGCTTTCAATACCTTCTCTCTCAATGACTCCCAAATTTATATGTCTAGTCCAGATACCTGCCCTGATCTCCAAATTCATATATCCAACTGCTTACTGTACATATTCACTTGGATGTCTAAAAGGCATGTTGAAACTTAACATTCTACAACTGAGTTCCTGATAGTCCCCCTCAAATCTGCTTTTCTACAGTCATCTCTATCTCAGTTCATGAAAACCCCATACTTCCAGTTACCAAGGCAAAAATGGAATAATCTTTGTCTCTTCCTTTCCTACCCCACAATTAACCAGCTAGTAAATCCTTTAAAATATACCTAGACTATGACCAGTGCTCACTTATTCTACCATTCCGGCCCATGCAACTAATATGAGGGATGGAATAATCTTTGTCTCTTCCTTTCCTACCCCACAATTAACCAGCTAGTAAATCCTTTAAAATATACCTAGACTATGACCAGTGCTCACTTATTCTACCATTCCGGCCCATGCAACTAATATGAGGGTACTTTCAAAAGTTCGTGTAAAAATAGAAAAAAAAAACACTAATATGAACCTTTCCACTAACTTTTTGAAGTACTCTCATGTATCTCTACCGGAACATTGTAAAACACTGGTTTCCTTGCCTCTGCCCTTGCCCCCCTTCAGTCAACTCTCAACACAATAGGCAGAGATTTTGTTTTAAAAAAAAAAGACAAATCACTTCCCTCCTCTGCTTAGAAATCTCTAATCTCTCCCCATCTCAAATCAAAGACCAAAGTCTTTAAAATGGCTGTCAGGGCCCCTGGTGCCCTTGCTTACACTACTGCAGGCACCTTTGCCTGCTTCCCTCAGCACACTAGGCACATTCCCCCTTCAGGGCCCTTGCATTAGTGGTCCTCTCTGTCTACAGCAATATTCTCCCAGATATTTACACTGTGCACATCCTCATCTCCTTCACGTCTTTGCTGAATGCCACCTTCTCAATGAAGCCTTCCTGCCCCATCCCCGTACATTTCCTATTCTCTTTTTCCCCAGAGTACATATCAACTTCTACTACATTGTAATACTTAGAGACGGATTTTGTTTATTGTCTGTCTTCTTCAAATAGAATGGAAGTTCCAAGTAAGGCAAAATCTGTTTGTTATATCCCCAGTGGCTGGGACAGTGCCAGATACATATTAGGCACTCAGCTTCAAGTCACAAGTTTTGTTGTATCAAGTGAAATAGTACTTTCATTATTATCTCTCAATATTTTGTATTTACAATTATTTATTATTTAATAAAAATTTATTAAAAATAAATTTTGACTCCTTAAAGACTCCTTAAAGAAAGTGAAAAGAGAAAAGGAAATTTTCAGTGCATATGATGGATTAAAGGTTAATTTCCAGAACTATGAAGAACTACAATAGCTCAACAGACAAATGGCTGAAAGACTTGAAGATGCTCAACCTCATTTTAAAAATTTATTAAAAATAAATTTTACATAAAAAAGAATGTTTCCAAAAATATATAAGGCATAAGGAATAATACCACAAACACCAGTGTAGTCACTACCCTGTGAAAATTACCATTTCTTTGAAGCCCTCTGTGTGTTCCTCCCTTTCAGAGTTACTGTCCTAAATTTTATATTTATCATTTCCTTGAAGTTTATATCCATAAACAATATACATATTTTTGATTATGTTTTGTGTATAGCTGTAGCTGAATCATTTTCACTGCTGTATGATTTTCCATTATATGATTATACTACAATTTATTCATCCATTCTATTATCAATAAACACCGTGTTGTTTCCTGGATTTTTTGCTATGACAAACAGTGCAATGTACATTTTTGTAGATTATTTTCTGATACCCCAGTAAAAGAATTTCTCTAGAATATTCACCTAGGAATACTCATAGAATTGCTGGGTCATGGGGCATGCATATCTTTTCAATTTCATCTTTACAAGATGATGCCAAGTTGTTTTCCAATGGTAGCTGTACTAATTCACACCCCTACATGAATCCCTTTTGCTCAATATCCTGACCAATGCTTGATATTCAGATTTTTTTAAAAAGTCAATTTGTTGGTGTGAAATGGTATGTCATTGTTTTTTCAAATTTGCCTTTCCCTTATTACTACAGTGTAATGAGGTTGAGCATCTTCAAGTCTTTCAGCCATTTGTTGAGCTATTGTAGTTCTTCATATTGTGGAAATTAATCTTTAATCCATTATATGAACTGAAAATATTTCCTATTCTCTTTTCACTTTCTTTAAGGAGTCTTAATAAAAATGTATCAATCATTTCCTTTACGGTTTCTGCTTTTGTCCTTTTAAAGAATTTCTTCTGTAATCTAAAGTCATAAAGATCGTATCTTACGTATCTTCCAAACATTTATAGTTTTGCCTTTAACATTCAAGTGTTTTATCCACCTGGAACTGTGCAAGCTAGAGTAAGGAGTCTAATTTCAATTTTTTCATATGGACAAAAATTATCCCAGTATAATTTCTTGAAAAGACCTTCTTTTCCCTCCACTGACTCTCAATGCCAGCACTGTCATATATCAAAATTCTGTATGTGGGTCTTTTTGTGAACTCTGTTCCTTTTCATTGTCTATGTGCTAATATCATGCCATCTTAACTCAAATTTCCAACCTTGTTCTTTAGAAGTGTTTCCACTATTTTTAGATCTTTGCTCTTACACATAAAATTTAGGAGGAATTTTTCAAATTAGAGAAAAAAATTAGGATTTCAATTGCTATTGCATTTAATTTATAGATCAGTTGAAATAAGAATTTACAATATTGGATTTTCTTTTTCACCTACATGACAACTCTCAATTTTAAAAATTCTTTCTAAGTTCCTAATACAGTTTTGTCATTTTCTCTACAAAGGTCTTGAACATCTTTTATTTTTTATTTTTTTTATTAATATTTAGGTAATTTATGTTTTGATGCTCTTATTAACAATAGCTTTTTGAAAATTACATTTTAACTGTTTGTTGCTAAAGTATAAAAATGCAATTGCTTTTGTATAATGAACTTTGATAAACTATTATCTGTATAGATTATCGGCTCTTTAATCAGTGAATCAATTAGTTTCTCAACATGTATTTGTTAGCTGTCTTCTGTCAAATTTCTGGCATTTACATTGTGAAATGTTTTTTTCAAAGATAGATACTTTGGAATTATTCAGACTTCCTTGGTGGCCTAATGTGTCTTCAATTTTCATAAACTTTTTAATGTGTCCTGGAAATGACTGTGTATTCTCTGTGGGATCCATAGTTCCACACATATGTATGAAATCTAGCTTACATAACATTTCTGTAAGCATTTTTTTTTTTTTTTTTTTGGTGGCTGGCCAGTACAGGGATCGTACCCTGGACCTTGGTGTTAATCCGTACCATGCTCTAACCAACTGAGCTAACCAGTTAGCCCTAGAAGCAATTTTTATGCCAAAACTAATTTGATTTACTGAGCACGATTATGGCTTAACATTCAACTTAGTTCAGAATTAAATATCTTTGTTAGATAACTCTCCAACAATCCTACAAGATGAGATTTACTACCGCCCTCCTTGGCAAAGCAGGACTTGCTGCTCAAAGGGTAACTTGTCAATTTCACAGCAAGTAGAACAGTTGAAATTTGAACTTTGATCTGTTTTATTTTGTTTACAACACAAAGCTTCGAGGCTAGAAACCTCAGCTATTCTTTATTCCACCTTCTCCTCCATCCCCCAATATCTGCTAGAATATGGGACCTTTTTATTCTAAAACTACAAAACTCGCCCTGACCCATCTCTTTACTATTTTCCTTTTCACTAAAATCAGTAGTTAAAGAAGATAAGTGCCAGTGATAAAATGCCACTAGTATACAGTGCTGTTGCAGTGTTTAAGCCCTTTCTTGATTTCATCTCAGCCCATACTACTTCATTATCAGTACTAATCAGAACAGGCAGTGTTCCTGTATTACAAATGAGGAAACTAGTTCTCAGAGTTTGTTTAACATAGTTTAACTCCCAGACGTTAAGTGGCAGATGTAGCTTTTTGCAAGCTAGGACTCTTTCTACAGTCCTGTGTTTCTAAAAATGCGATTTTTAGAATAAGGCTTTAAAAATTTATTATTATAAAGCATCAGACTAAAGCCAGATTCAAGGGGGTGAGGCGGAACTTTACTTTCAGGATTATCTCATTCAATTCTATTCTCTCGCTTCAAAAAAAACCACTTAGGCCCCCAATGGTGCTGTGACTTGCTAAGTGACAGATCTACGATTCGAATTCAGATCTTCCAGCAGGTGCCATTAACGCAGCCGCCGGAAAAACGGCCGATTAAACGGAATTACACCAGCTTCTCAGTAAAAGATTTAATGGTTACAGCAACAAAAGGTCAAAGAAGGAATCTATTTCCAAAGAACGTCCACCCTCAATGACTTCAGTGAATCCTCGAGGCACTCAATTTCAACCTTTTGACAAAGATTCCTTCACCCAGTGGAATGGTGAATGTTACTGTGTTTGCATTACTGCCCTCGAGTTAGCAATACCCCCTCGAACGGAACGCAGGGGGACGGCAATAGCAGCTCCTGCCCGCAGGAGCGTCACTGCAAGCAAAAGAAATCAGGATCTGGAAATCAGAACCCACCCAGAGCCAGAGGAAGGAAAGCACAGTGCACAGATCTGTTTCTGCTGGAGGCGAAGGCCGGCGTCGATACCTGTACTGGGCAACGGTCAGAGTGGCTTCGGGCTCGGCCCCAAAACCAGGCAGGTGCTGGTTTAGGTAAGCCTCTAGGGACCTGAGGTCGAACTTGTGCTGAGGCAGCACTTCAGCCATCTCCGGCTCGCCGGTGGCACCCGCCGCCATGACCGCCGCCTACAACGCAGGCCACGGAGACGTGAAATCCACGGGTCTCCAACAGCTGAGTCCTCAAGGTTGAGCAGCGCCGCCCTAAAGCGTCGGGCGGGGCCGGGGCGGGGCCTGGCTCCCGCCAATCACACACACTGGACGCCGTTGCTGGGCAACACTGGCCCTGGACTCTTTAATAGGGAAATGCCAGAAGTTCCCAGCGTGTGTTCGGATTTAACATTTTCAGTCAGCGTTAGGATTTGGAGGCCTCGATTTTAAAGAAAGCAAAGCCACCGTCGTAGCTACGGGAGAATAAGAACGCAGAGGCTTCTCCACCCCCAAATTTAATGCACAGGCAGGCGGAAGACCTATAGGGTCCCCTTCAGAAAAGGGCCGGTCAGGACTTCAAGCCCAGGAATAAAATATCCTGGTGTTTCTCTTAGCCGCCGGGTTAGAAAGGCCCCATCGCAGGCCGTCTGCTCTGGGCCTTATGGCCGTGATCCTGCCGCGGCCTGGTCTACCAGATCCAGTGAAGGAGGAACCCAAAAGAGGTGGATTCCGCGGAGGGGGAGTCATGACGGCGGCGCACCGGAAGCGTTGCCGCGAGATGCGGGTGGGAGCGGCCGAGACGTGTCTGTGAGGCGCTGCGGCCGCTTCTCCGGCGGCGCTCTGGGCTAGGAAGGCGCGGTTGGGTGCCTCCTCGCACACCCCTCGCCCGCCCAGCCGAGCAGCGTGGGGCGGCGGCGGCGGCGGCGAAGGCCAGGGCTGGGAGCGTTGGCGGCCGGGGTCCCAGCCATGGCCGAGTCTGTGGAGCGGCTGCAGCAGCGCGTACGGGAGCTGGAGCAGGAACTCGCCCAGGAGAGAAGTCGGCGGGTCCTGGGGGGCGGCGATGGAGGGGGCGGCCGGGCCCGCATCGAGAAGATGAGCCCAGAGGTGGTGGATTCCAATCCGTACAGGTGACCTGCTCCGTGGGTCGGAGGCAGGCGAGGGCGCCGGAGTCAGGGTCTCCGTGTGGTCAGGAGTGAGGCGCTTCCCCGCCCGCTTACACGGCCTTCCGCCACCCTGTGCTTGGTCCGGGGGTTCAGTTTCCAAACCAGCAAGGCTACATCTTAGTGCTGGTCAGAAGATCTTTCTCATTTTCAGAAGACCCAAGCGAGTCAGCCATATGGTGCTGCTTGCTCCTGGGCCTGCTGAGGACATGTGTCGGACTTCCTATCGCCCTTGCCTGTGTTAGTTACCCCGCCTCGGTCTACGTAAAACTGATAGTGAGAACGTTCAAAAGATGACATCAAGTGTAAGACCCGCTAAACATAAACTTCGGATTTCGTAAAGACGTCTCTATGTATCTTACATGGGGGCGGGGCGAGGGAGAGAGACATTAGCCTTAATTTGAGGTGTTAGGGTGTTTTTAGCATCTCAAATCATTCGACTTTACCTGCCCGCTCCTCTCCTTTCCTAACACGGCTTGTCAATTCAGCTGGCGGAATGGAGCGCAGTGGTTAAGGGTAAGGGCTCTACAGCCGGACTGGATTTAAATCCCAGTTCTCTTAGAAGCTGGGTAACCTTGGGCAAGTTTTGAACCACTCTGCTTCAGTTTCTCACCTGTAAAATGGGGTTGATGGTAATATCTATCTTTGTTATAGTTCTGAGGATTGAAAAAGTACGTGAAAGGTTCTTAGAATAGCACTTGTACATGGCAAACCTTGTACAAGACTTTATTGCTCAGTGCACTTAGTAGCAAGCAGTTGTTGAGCTTTCACTACGTGCTAAGCACATCACGTGCATTGTCTCTTCTCAACACAACCCTATGAGATTGTTACTATGTTACACCCATTTTCTAGGTGAGAAGATTGAGGCTTAGAGAGCTTCCTCAGGCCATAGATATAGTAGTGAGTAATAAGGCCCGGACTGGCATTAGGTTTTTCTTAATCCAAGATTCACAAAGAACTTTCTCCCCAGAAAAAATAAGCCATTAAGAAGTGTGGCTAAAAACTGGGTAGTCATAATGTAGGTGAAATAAGGCAGATGTTATTGTTGGCTCTTTTCCTTTAAAGATCATGAGAGTTTTGATTTTTAAAAAAGGTTTTATTGGTTTGTGACATACAAAGCCTCTGGAAATTTTACAGTGTGCTGTTTTAACTGTTGCCAAATATAAAGGGTTAATAATCCAAAATTTTTAGAGATTGAATAAGCGTGAACTGACATCTCTAATCAGAATGAGTGGAAACTTCCATTTGACATCTTTAAACATTTTTTAATTTTACAAATGAAGACTGAAATTTTCTCTCAAAAAATAAGCAAAGGAATATGGGTCATATTTTCAATCATCTTTCAGACATTATTTTAATGTGAGATGATCCCTTTACATTGTAATAATCACAAAACTTTCAGCACTCAAGTTTAAACATGTAGTATTTTCTCTCATTTGCCTCTATTAAAATTGCTATATAGGAAGGAGATGGCAGTTGACACCCAAAGCTGTTCACTAGCATATGGACATTTAATGAAGGTCCGCCTTAATGTTTTGAATCGTTGTTCATTCAGCAAATATTTGAGCACCTTTTTATCTTCAGCTTTCCTTGGTATTATTTACCTTTTGTTGAATATTTCTTATGTGCAGACACTGCAGTTATAAAGTAGACATAGCCTTTTCCCTCCAGAGCTTACCAGATGAGTATGATAGAAAGATAAACAAACAATTGCAACTCAGGTGGTAAGAATTATGATAAGTACAGGGTTAATCGCCAAAAGTATGGGAAAGGAGTTTGTCTGTGGTCTGCACCATTTTAATTGCATCAAGCAATACAAAAGAAATATAAAGCCCCTGACCTTCAAAGTTCCTTTGCTTTAGTTTGGCAGACTATAATGGATGTTGAATGATGATCAAACACCACCACGGTGAAATTATGTGGTATAGAATACAAATACAAGCATATGGAGAAATGAGAGGCAAGCAGAGGCTTTGAGATCAGGAAATTTGGTTTCAAATCCTGGTTCAGAAGCCCAGCTCTGAATACTGTTTGCCAGTTAGCTGATCTTGGGCAGTTAACTAACCTGAATCTTTTCCCTCATCTGTAAAAGGGGGTTGCAATGCATTCTTCTTGGGGTTATTTGTAGAGATTAAATAGAGCATCAAAGTAAAGATGGCAGATTGATCACAGGAATTTACTGTCATTTTCTACCCAACTCGACTAAACTGATAGTAAAGGAATTTTTTAAAAGGAATAACCCCCCACTGAAAAATTAGAGGGTGTCTATTTAATTTATAGTAACAATTTTGGAAACTAAATGAGGGATGGATGAAGGATAACTGATTTAATACTCAAGGAAGACAAATCTGAAGGCTGCATCCCGGTATATACCACTGAATCCCCCAAAAACTCAGGAATAGGCATAGGTACTTCTATAGAAGGGTTCTAGGTAAGGCTAAAAAACTTTTGGTTGAAAGTCTGTTGAAGAAACAGGTTCCCAGGGCCACTGTAGGTGGGTGGGCAAATGCCCATTCCCTATCAGGAGAGAATACTAGAAATTTATTCACTGGAGAGAGTAAAATACAAGATTTCTGTTAATATTTGGAGCAGGTCTTTGTACTCCAAGCAAGGGGTAAACTGTGTCTACATACTGCATGCTGGGATTCCCAGCCCTTATTTCTTTACTTAACTTCCACCAGCAGACAGCCAGGTGTAAACACCTTTCCGGTTGGAGTTTGAAAGATTCTCCTTAAGCGAATCTTATAAAGCTAAGAAGAAAGACCAAAATATACCGACTGACATTGGGGGTTTCTCAACTGAACATCCTGGTCAGATCACCCTACAGTGAAGCCCAAAGTCAAATAAATATTGCCCACATCCTTACCTTTATTAGTGTCCCACTTTTAAATATGAGCAGAACAAAGAATGAGAGAAGTTCCTAACATGAAAGAATAAAAATAGCAACTTGGATAGACTATGTAAGGGAAACACATCTCCCCAAATTATTATTATCCTCACAGAAGATATTTTATAAATGAAATAGGAACAAGGTGCCATAAAAAGCATCATTCAGATACTTAAAAAGAGTTCTTACAAATGGAGATGGTAACAAATGAAAATCTCAATAGAAGGGTTGGAAAATAAAGTTGAAAGAAATCGTCTAGCAGAAAACTAAAACAATGCAAAGTTGGAGGAAAAAAAGAGTAAAAGACCAGCCCAGGAGGTCCAACTTTCCAATAGTAGGAGTACCAGAAAGATAGTCCAGGAAAAACAAACCAAACAAGAAAATCACCAAATTCTTCAAGGAAATTTCTCAGAACTGAAAAATGTGAGTTTCTAGTTTGAAAGGGTCCACCAAATACTCAGCACAATGTATAAGAATAGATTCAAACTGAGGCACATTGTGAAATATCAGAAGCTAGAAGACACTGGAGCAATACCTTAGAAATTTTGATGGAAAATTCTTTCCAACTTTAGACGTCTATACCAAGTTAGAGTGTGTAGCTGTAGGGAAAATATAGGAAAATGGTCAGAGCCCTTCAGATGTTCAGAATCTTGCCAAGCATTTGATGTAAATATGCATGTGCGCCCAAGTGTTCCTTAGCTATTGTCTGATGTAGATGCGTGTGTGCACCTAGGTGTCCTGGGTTATGGACTTAAGTATAAAGGATGAGTGGCTCTGATCCACAGGCCCCCCACCCCACCCCCGGGATGCCCCTGGGGGGGCCACGGGGAGGCCGCTACTACTGCTGGAGGCTGTTGCTGAAGCTGTTGCTGCCAGGGCCCCTGGGACCCTCCAAGAGGCCACCGCCATTGCTGCCACCACTGCCGCTTCTGCTGCTACTGCTGCTGCTACTGCTGAGGACTGAGGTCGTATCATCTGCCAGTGGCTCCTGGGATCTTTCCCAATTACCTAGCGTGGACCTGCATATGAGGGGTCTATGACCCAGCCTGACATGTGAGGGGTCTGGTAACCCAGCCTGACATGTGAGGGGTTTGTGACCCAGTCTGTACAACAGGTTTGAAGGGTCTGTGGGCCCTAACCCCTAACCTGACAAATGGCATAGCTTTACAGTTGGCATAGCTATTACCTCAACCTTACATTAACTTTATACAATTATATACCATTTGTTGTTTTACAAAGAATAGAATTTTGATAAAGAACATTTTCAGACATGTGAGTTCACAAAATTTCTTTGTTGTATCCTTTGCAAAGCTACTGGAAGATGTTCTTCCAACCACAAAAGAATAAATTAAGTAATCTACAGCAGAGGCTTTCAGACTTTAATGTGCATCGGAATTACTTGGAGGGCTGGTTAAAACAGATTGTTAGGCTCTATACCCAAGGTTTCTGATTCAATGGTGATTATAGGGTTGGGGCCCGAGAAATTGCATTTCTAGCAAATTCCCAGATGATGCTGTTGCTGATCCATAGACCACACTTTAGAACCACTGAACCTATAGTACATAGGAAGCAGGGGATTAATACAGGATAAAGAAATGAAGAGAATTTAGTTTAATGATGAAGGGAGCAGCTGTGTTTGCAGCAATTCTAGAGACACCATGTCAGATTCTAGGAGATTCATCTTTAAAAATGAAATTGATAGAACACCTCATGCATATGAACATATCTACAGAAATTTTAGATTAGTGGAGTGTTGGGGTTAAATCTGAAAATACATAGGAAACTTAATGAGTGACATATGTAGCATAAGGACAGATATCAACTTCAAGGGTGGGAGTTGTAGAGGAAAGGGTAAGTTCTAATATGCTGCATAACCCAGTTGTGAACAGTTAACATCTAACCAAAATGACCATATAACTATCAGGAGGCTGGCAGGATGGGAAATGTCTACATGCAGTAGGGACAGATAGTAAGAGTAATTCTTCCGATAATGCCTAAAACTGAAAATCAAGAAATAACAGTGAAAGCATCTTATAGATAATGTAATACAGCTGAAAGCGCGGGAGAAGAGGAAAATGGGGTGGGGGCCAGAGGGCTGCTGAATTTCCTGATACACCTGGTAGAACTATTTGATTCCTTAAAGTGTAAATGAATGGGAATTGTATATATACATATATAGTTTTAAACTGTGTGTGTGTGTGTGTGTGTGTGTGTAATAGAACAGATTAGCAGTAACTAAAGTACCTCTTAGACTCCTTGGCATACAATTGGTGCTTACTAAAAGCAGACATCCATATGGGGAGAGGCAACGAGTGAATGGAATTCTAGACATGAACTTATTCTGATGATGGCGATCTCAGTATAATACATTAAATATTTACACGTACTAACAAGGCATGGAAAATGTTGGATTTCACTTTAATCCTTAACATTTAAGTCAGTAGATCTCAGTCTTGACTGAACATTAGAACATGTGTGTGTGTGTGTGTGTGTGTGTGTAATAGAACAGATTAGCAGTAACTAAAGTACCTCTTAGACTCCTTGGCATACAATTGGTGCTTACTAAAAGCAGACATCCATATGGGGAGAGGCAACGAGTGAATGGAATTCTAGACATGAACTTATTCTGATGATGGCGATCTAAGTATAATACATTAAATATTTACACGTACTAACAAGGCATGGAAAATGTTGGATTTCACTTTAATCCTTAACATTTAAGTCAGTAGATCTCAGTCTTGACTGAACATTAGAACATATGAGGAGCTTTAAAAAAAAATAAATAACAAAACCTTGTTTCACAGGCTACACCTGGGAGGGTACTCAGGTATCAGTGATTTTAAAGTTACCCAGGTAATTTAATCTGGTAAAAGCCAGCTGAAAGTCTTCTTTTAAAGGATTAGTAATGAGTTTTGGTGTTGATTCTGTGATGAAATATATCTGTCTATACCACTATTAACTAAAGATTGTTAGCTTTAAAACATTTTTTTCCCTTTTGTTTTAAGCCGCCTGATGGCATTGAAGCGAATGGGAATTGTAAATGACTATGAGGTATGATAAACCTTTCCAAGTTTTTGAGGACAATTTCAATAAATGAAAATAATTTCTGGTGACATTTGATGAAGTTACTAACTGACACATATATATATATTTTGCATTTCACAGAAAATCCGTACCTTTGCTGTAGCAATAGTAGGTGTTGGTGGAGTTGGTAGTGTGACTGCTGAAATGCTGACAAGATGTGGCATTGGTAAGGTAAAAACATTTTTTGTTGCCTATCTTATAGGGAACTACTCACTGCTGGATGTAAATCAGGTACAAATTCGATTTTTTTCTCATCACTAATGGTTTATTTGTTTGTGGTGTATTTATTCAGTTTGTTCTTTCTACCCAAAGGGTTGAGACATGCCCAGACAAACAAAAGTTGATATTATTGCGAATTAAACAAGGACTATCTAATTGTGTTCAGGGACTTTTTTGTTTGGGGTACTGTTAAGTAAGGCAAATCATAACTAAAGCCAAAATGTTTCATTATTTTAGTTATACTAATAGTAGTTTCCATTTATGTTGTCAGACCTAGGGCTCAGACCCTTCAAACCCATTGTACAGACTGGGTCCCTAGACCCCTCACACGCAGGTCCATGCTAGGTAACTGGGAACGATTCCGGGAGCTGTTGGCAGATGACATGAGCTCCGTCCTCAGCTTCCTCAGTGGCAGCAGCGTACAGGTCTGGTAGCTTACAGGTCCAGCGGTGGCAGTGGCCTTGCAGAGGGTCGCGGGGGTACTCCAGCAGCAGTAGTGGTCACTCCAAATTCTTAAAGTGGTTTCAAAATTGGTACTCATTTTCAGTGTAGAAAAGACAAACCAAAATACTGAAAATGTTTATTAAGATTTTAATATCTTTCAAGAGGTTTACCAAAGTAGACCAAAAATTGCTTATAGCTGACTTAAATACCCTGACTGATCAACTAGGGATATTAGTGATCATTGAAATCGGTTGTTTTCAAGTTTGAGTATGTTATCAGAATCAATTGGAAGGCTTTTTAAAACACAGATTGCCAGATCCTACCCCAGTGATTTTGATCCTGTAGATGTCAGGCCGACCTAATAACTGACATTTCTAACAAGGTCCCCGGTGATCCTGATTCTGGTATTCTGGGGACCATGCTTTAAGAACTACTAAAACCTTCCTACTCCAAGTTTGGTTCCCAAAACAGTAGCAGTAGCATAGCATGGGAGCTTCTTAGAAATGAAGACTCTCAGAGGCCCTACCCCAGACATACTAAATCAGAATGTGTATTTTTAAAAAATCCCTAGGTGATATGTGTATTAAAACTGGGGAAATGTTCTAAATCAGAATGTGTATTTTTAAAAACTCCCTAGGTGATATGCGTATTAAAACTGGGGAAATGTTCTTACTCCTTTAACAAGTTCCAGGTAATTCTGATGCTGCTAGATCAGGCCCCCTTTTGAATAGCTAAGATCTAGAACGGTAGTTATCAAATGCTGCTGTAATTAGAATCACTGGAAGTTTTCAAAAATTCTGATGTCCAGACTGCCCCCCATAGTACATAAATCAGAATCTCTGGGGATAAGACACAGACATCTGTATTTTTTTAAACTCTCCAAGTGATTCCAGTTTGCAGTCAGGCTTGTGAACTAAGAATCTACACAGCTAAGATTCAGAAACTCTTTCTTCAACTTTTGGGACAAATAGACGAGAAGCTAATTCATGGAGTTAAATAGGCAAGTTAGAGGATGGGAGACCCAGAGCACATTTCTTATCCCTGAAAGTATCTGGTGCACCCTGGGTCACCAGATGTAGATTAGCTGCTTTATTTTACAAATGACAATATAGGCCTAAAAGTAAAAGGGATTTACCTCTGATCAGAGCTAATTAGCAGCAGAGTTACAATTCATACCTCCTGTTCCCAGGTTTAGTATTTCCTGCAACTTACTCGTCAACAAACTATGAGGAAGAAACACAAATGTATACTTGGCCTGACCTAATAAATATTAGTTGAATGAGCTTAAATAAACCATGTTTTGGAGACTATAAGTAGGGTTAGAAAATTATCTTAGAGGGCATACTGAGATCTTTTCTAGCAAGATATTATGTGTTATCTGGGTGTTACTATGTGCTGGGTTAAATTTTTTCTTTTGAGTTTCTGTATTGAGAAGAAGAAAATCCCATTTTTGTTTTTATTATTAAATTTAGGATGCTGAAAATTGTATTACCCTGACAGAATTTTAGATCAGAAAGGGACCTTGGAAATCAATGGTTCTAACCTATTCTTACTGATAAGAAATGTGATTTTTCCAGCCATTTTAAATATTGTGTGTGTGTGTATGTGTCAAATGCTGTTTGAAATAGGCCCAAGAATATGGCAGGAAACAAAAATTAGATGATTGGTTAGTAATTCTATTTGGAATAATATTTTAGCTATGGCATGGATATATATTGTGTCATACTCACAAAACAAGTCAGATTATACTATAGTTTTAAGTTACAGAATTTGTTCAATTCTATTTGGAATAATATTTTAGCTATGGCATGGATATATATTGTGTCATACTCACAAAAGAAGTCAGATTATACTATAGTTTTAAGTTACAGAATTTGTTCTTTTCTTCCTTAAAGATTTAATTTATCCAATGGGTTATTGGCTATTAGCAAAAAATTGGATTGAAATAGGATTTTGGCACAATTTTTAAAAATTGCAATGAGATGGAATGAATGTTAATTTCTCAGTGAATAATTTAGAGAGGCAGCACAGCATTGTGTTTAGGGTGCAGGTGCTGGATTGAGAATGCCTGAATTTAAATTCCATTTCCACTACATATTAGCTAAGGGGACTTTGGACAAGTGACCTAGTTGCCTCATTTCTAAAATGAGGCTAACAGTACCAATGTACTTACCTAACATGAGCATTCAATGAATTGAAATATGGCACTTACTGTTTTAGTGTTAGCCAATACTATTATCAAACTGTTAAACCCATCAAACGTCAAGTCCACTAGTTTATTTGTTGTTTTTAATTTTTTGGTATGTTCTTCATTGGGATACTACTATTTTCATTTTAGTTGCTACTCTTTGACTATGACAAGGTGGAACTGGCCAACATGAATAGACTTTTCTTCCAACCTCATCAAGCAGGATTAAGTAAAGTTCAAGCAGCAGAACATACTTTGAGGTAAATAAGATAGCAAGTGAAATCTTACTTTGTGTACTTGGTTTGAGTTAACTTGATATACAAATAGACCTGAATTTTTCTTTATAAAAATGCAGATTTCGGGCCGACCCTGTGGCTCACTTGGGAGAGTGTAGCGCTGGGAGCGCCGAGGCCGCGGGTTCAGATCCTATATAGGGATGGCCGGTGCGCTCACTGGCTGAGTGTGGTGCAAGCGACACCACGCCAAGGGTTGCGATCTCCTTACCGGTCACCAAAAAAAAAAAAAAATGCAGATTTCACTTATAAAAGAATTCCACCTCTTGGACATGTATTGCCAAACTTTTTCTGCATGGGGCTAGATATTTTAGTCTTTGAGGACCATGTGGTCTCTGTTGCAGCTGCTCAACTACTGTAGTTGTATGATAGCAGCTGTAGCCAACACAAAAATGAGTATATCTGTGCTCTAATAAACCTTTATTTTTGAACTCAGTTTAAATTTTATATAATTTTCATGTCATGAAATACTATTCTTCTTTTGATATTTTTCTCAATTGCTTAAAAATGTAAAAACCATTCTAAGCTTGAAGGCTGTACAAAAACAGCTGACAGGCCAGATTTGCCAGCCCCTGCACTTGGAACTTTCTTTGTGGCCCCAAACATATTTGTCCTGAGTTGAATAAGGAACAAAGACACTCTTCTGTCAGGTTAAGGTATAGCTACCAGAAGTGGTAAAAGTTTACTTCCCAGCACACAGATTGACCCAAGTTAGAGTTAATTACATTTTTGTAATCTTTATGACAATCTACACATTTTTGAAATTAGTCCTTAGAGTGGAACAAAAAGGTAAAAGAGGACTTTGGATTTTCTTTGAATAGCTTGAGTTCCACTTCTCTAATGTATATTAAATGCTCTTTAGCTCTTTCAACTCTTTTTCCTTTCTGCTTTTTCTTACTATTCCTGCTAGTAGTTCTTATAATCATTCCTATTTTCCCTCTTAGGAACATTAATCCTGATGTTTTTTTTGAAGTACACAACTACAATATAACCACAGTGGAAAACTTTCAACATTTCATGGATAGAATAAGGTAAAATTTTTCTTTATGAATATTTTGTGAAATGTCTAGTTCAGTTAAACAAGTATTATTAGAAAATCTATTATTGAGGGCTTGCCGGTTAGCTCAGTTGGTTAGAATGTGGTGCTGGTAACACCAAGATCCAGGGTTCAATCCCTGTACTGGTCAGCTGCCAAAAAAATAAAAAATAAAAAAGTTAAAAAAAAATCTATTATTGGAAAAATGTATTGATTAATTAAATGAATTAGCAGATTGATATTTTTCTGTTTTCAAAAAATTTTTGTATAATGTGTATGTATTAGAAGCTCAGTAAAAAGTATATATTGCCCTCACCCAAAAAAAAAAAAAAACCCTGTAAATTAGTGATATAAACAAAGATCCTCAATTTTAAGTTCTGTGTTCTAGATTACAGTTCTATCTGAAAACAGTATTCTTCAGTGACTCTTGGAACACCACTGAAATAGTGAATTGAATTCAGTTAGCTTTTATTATATGTATACGTGTAGTGAAGCATGAATAAAAAAGTCTGTGAAAGCTGACAGGGAAATGGTAACTGTTGTGAACAGACTTTATACTTCCTTCACCCTCATACTTCTCGTAAGAGAAGTACTACTGCAGTATCATTGATGTTATTTATAATAGTTATTCAATGTTTGATATATATGGGATCTTTAATATCAAATACTATGTTATAATTATACTCACTTAATGAAAGAATGTGTGACTAAACAGAGTCTAATTAGAATGTGTTTTGCATATTGATTTTTTTCTCAAATAAAGTTTATTTTTTTGACTAGTAATGGTGGGTTAGAAGAAGGAAAACCTGTTGATCTGGTTCTTAGCTGTGTGGACAATTTTGAAGCTCGCATGACAATAAATACAGTGAGTATTCCTGCTGTGTAAGGTGTTATACTCATGGATTTATCTATTTTCCTGTATACTATCAGTATATAATTCCCATCCTAAAAATAGTTCTGAATTTAACTTTTTATGTATCTTATTTAATTATAATGTTCTCTTAGCCTACTTTTAAAATTTATTCTAATAGCTGTGGGACCTGTCTAGCCTTGCTGGCGTGACATATGTTACAGTATCCTACTCTCTTTTATGCCAATAGAGGAAACTAAACTAGCAAATACTTCTGATATATAATTTTTAAAATAAATTCTCTATATTACTTCTTCTTAGCATTAGTTTTAACTTTTGTTACTTTATTTTGTAAATGTATAGATATGTATAAATTGCCTAAAAACAGTTTCTCAAAAATATGAATTTTTTGTTTTGAATTATTGTTTTTAACATTTCAAGTGATAGTTTGGCATTATTTTGTTGCTGCTATTATTTTAGAAAAATCTTTTCATTAATCTGACAAATCCAATAAACTGTGGTTCAATTTAATAAATTTAATAAATATTACTGGCTGCTTTTTCTTGTCTCGTGTCCGGCAACGGACTGCAACCCTCAGTGTCGCGCCCGTACCGGGCTGGGACCGGCAACGGGACCGCAACCCTCGGCGCTGCACCCGCCCCTCGCTCAGCCAGTGAGTGGGAACCGGTCTGCATGTGGGATCCGAACCCTCGGCAGGAGTGCCGCCGCGCTCCCAAGCGGTGCACTGCAGCAGTGCGCCACCAGGCCGGCCCCTTACTGGCTGCTTCTTAAAGGCTGTCAGTTTATTTTTTAAATAGAGTGTGATTGCCAAGAAATTCCATTATTTACAACTTTCCTCATTCTAAAAATTAATTTTAAAGAACCCTTGGTAATCCATTTAGTTAAACCCTAATTTTTCAGGAAAAGAATTTACAGTAAATTACTTCATGCTTTTTTATGATCTTCTTTGTCACCTAATTTCTACTAAGGCTTGTAATGAACTTGGACAAACATGGATGGAATCTGGGGTCAGTGAAAATGCGGTTTCAGGGCATATACAGCTCATAATTCCTGGAGAATCTGCTTGTTTTGCGGTATGTATTATTCATTTTGGATTATTTCTCACTGTTAAGTACTAGAGTTCAGAGGGGCATTGAAAATGTATTACAAGTCAAAAGAGAAAACAAACTTAATGTGATGGAATTGTATTTGGAACATCTCATACATTTTCCCTCTTTCATTTAAAATGTGTTTTCTTCTCTTCTTGTTCATATAGTGTGCTCCACCACTTGTAGTTGCTGCAAATATTGATGAAAAAACTCTGAAACGAGAAGGTGTTTGTGCAGCCAGTCTTCCTACCACTATGGGAGTAGTTGCTGGGATCTTGGTACAAAACGTGTTAAAGTAAGTGAGGGCTAATTTTTCTGAATATTCTTGTATGCTTTTGATAAAAATTAATATATTTCATGAAGCATTTCAAAAATTGAAATTATGGGCTAAGTACAGAATTTTGTTATTTTAAATACATTTAATTTTAAATATTTTTATGTATGTATACTACATATGTGTATATTTTATTTTAAATATGTATGTGTACTTTTACACATAAATGTATATCAATATCTTAATTTAAATACATTAATATCACATATGTTAATATATATGGCTGTGTGTACATATTCATTTATGAATATATATGAATGTCAGTTACTCCCTGCATTTGGAATAGTTCTTGTTATATGGTACAGTCATACTGGTGTATTTATGGAGCATTAACCAAATGGTTTAAATCTCTGCAGGTCTGACCAATGGGTGAAGACTTGGACATGAACAAACTTGTTTCTCTACCTTGATTTAAGTCTTACTAAAAATAATCTGAATGTGATTAAGCATTAACCAAACATATCCAGCAACTACACTATCTAAATTATAGCTAAAAAGAAGGAAAAAAGCTAAAATTTATGTTAAAGAGTATATGAACCAGCTCACACTTTATTAAAAGCAGAGCCCCTGTGGGTGTTCCCTAATTCAGGCCATTTTTTTTCTCATTTTACAATTTTAATAAGCTTAATTATAGTTCCTAAGCCTCCAATATAATAAGAACAAACTGCAACATGATATATATAAGGAGGCACCCTGATATCAGTGAGAAATGTCAGTTGCCAGCAAAAAAACTGTAGAAAGCATATTTAAGAATTCTCAAGGCAACACAGTCCAGGGCTATTTCACCTAAGAGCAAATAGCCTGTACAAACTGGTGGCCTGTCTCAACAAAACTTTTTGTAGTATGGTACAAAAAAAAAAAATGGAAAAAAATCATGGCTATGAAGTGTTCTCTTAAAGATGTGTCATATTTAGCCAGCCCTCTATTAATGGACCTTTAGGCTACTTAAATTCTTTTGTTATTATTAACAAGTTGCAGATAACATCTTGCATATATCTTTGAATACTAGATTCTTATATAGTACAAATTTTTTAGAAGTGGAATTTGAGTTTATGCAATATCTACTTTGACAGATATTACTAAATTTCTCCTACAGAAGGATTACACATTTCCATCATAGTGTAGTACCTAGTTCACCCATACCTTTAACATTTAGTGTCATCAAACTCTTTAATCTTTGTCAACCTGGTCAGTAAAAAACAGGCATTTTATTTTAATTTTCATTTACTTGTGAAAAGGGTTGAGCACTTATATTTTTCTGTGAATTGTCTAATATCCTCTGCTCTATGTATATATGAACATGCATTTGCAAACATTTTTCCTCTTGTCACTTAGCTTTTGTACATGATTTTTCTCCTTTACAGAAGCTTTTAAAAGGAATCAGATTTGACTGGGAAGGGTGCACAAAGGAGCTTTATGGGATACTGGAAAAGCTTTATATCTTGATCTGGTTCTTTCTGTGGTTACACAGAAGACTTGTATAAAATTTTATTGAGCTGTACATTTAAGATTATGTACCTTACAGCAAGTTATATGTAAAATTTTTTAAAAATTAAAGTAGGTACACACCTCAGCTGCTTTTAAATACTTCCACATTTTTACATCTCTGAAATCAGTATGCTTTTTAAAGTTGTTGACATGTCATAATTTAATTGCCAGCATTTTATCTTTATTAGAGGTTCAAAAAATAATAGTGTGCTCTACAGTTGATGAAATGGAGTAATCTTTTCCTTCCTTCATTCATTCAATAAATATTCGATCATTTATTCTGAGCCAGGCCCTATAAATAGGAAAATTTGTGGGCTGCATATTATAAAAATCATTACCTACTTCCAAATCATTTTTTAAAAATTCAGTTACTTTCTTCTAGTACTTTTATGGTTTTATTTCTCTATTTAAGTCAGCTTTGATTTATTTTCTAGGTTTCTGTTAAATTTCGGTACTGTTAGTTTTTACCTTGGATACAATGCAATGCAAGATTTTTTTCCTACTATGTCCATGAAGCCAAATCCTCAGTGTGATGACAGAAACTGCAGGAAGCAGCAGGAAGAATATAAGGTATATGTCAATGTCAGAATGTATGAGGGATTACATTGCATAGGATAATAACTTTAAAAAATAGAAACAGATTTGGAAGATAAATGGATTCTGGATTTTTATAGTTTTAATTTATTCACCATACTTCAAAAATGAAAGTCCTTTCCTGCTTTTGGTAAGATAAAAAGCGTGAGAACTGAGAATGAGTAAAAACATTGTTACTGCTTGATTTCTACAGAAAAAGGTAGCAGCACTGCCCAAACAGGAGATGGAAAAAGAAGAGGAAGAGATAATACATGAAGATAATGAGTGGGGTAGGAATTTTTTTATAAATTGAAATGGTAGCATAAAAAATTCTTTTCTTGGTAGGGAATATAATTATTAGATTATAGAAATTTTGAATAATTATTGCTTATTAAGTTTCTTAAAAACTGTTATAGGATCAAATTTAACTCTATAGGTATTGAGCTGGTATCAGAAGTTTCAGAAGAGGAACTAAAAAATTCTTCAGGTCCAGTTCCTGACTTACCTGAAGGAATCACAGTGGCCTATACAATTCCAAAAAAGGTACTTCTAAAATCTGACTTACCCATAAGTAAATAATCATATAAGAGAAAATGTATATTTATCTTCTTTCATCTTCATTCTATTTTGTAATACCAATGCAGTACTTCCTGGTTTGGATAATTTACACTGTAGGCATTAGGATGTGATAAAGACAGAATATTCAGTGTTAATGTGGAGATATGCATAGCTTATTTTAAAGTGTTTGAAAACAAGGACATGAAATGGTTTTATTCACACATTAATGGATCAAATATAATAGATTTTTACTGAAGATATCATTTTTGTATATTGATAGTTTTAGCCACAATATCATTTAAAAATACATAAGTAGAGATGTTAAGATTATTGAAATTACTGCTATGTCAATCAGACTGGTGAGAGTAAAGGACTTTGTCTCTGAAAAATAAGAAGGCATATTTATTAAAGAAAATTTGCTTTATAAATTTGTTGAGAATGGTTAAAGCATCCTGATCATTTATTCTTAAGCATCGAGAATTTTATATGGCTCTTTTTTCACTATATTTCCCTTATTTGTTGACAGCAAGAAGATTCAGTACCTGAGGTAACAGTGGAAGATTCTAGTGAAAGCTTAGAAGACCTCATGACCAGAATTTTATATGGCTCTTTTTTCACTATATTTCCCTTATTTGTTGACAGCAAGAAGATTCAATACCTGAGGTAACAGTGGAAGATTCTAGTGAAAGCTTAGAAGACCTCATGACGAAGATGAAGAATATGTAGATAATGGACTGGCATATATTTTATTTTCTGCGTTAAATCTATTCTCTTTAAATAAAACAAAACAAAACTTAAAGCAGATAAAACTTAGAGCAACATTAATTGATATACAATCTTCACTGAATTGTTGTACTTTTTGAAAATATTATGTTACTTGTTGCTCCCCCCTCCAACTAAATAATTCTCCTAAAATGTATGTTTCATTGTAGTAAGAAAACTTCAAAGGACTATTGTAGGCAGTTATAAATCTTATTGGAAACATAGCCATTGAAATGCTTTTGTCTTTTTGAGGGAGTAGTAGTACCAACCTGATCCTCTATTTTTTCTTTCTAGTAATCCCTTGTGGTCTGTTGCCTGAGAATATGGACAGTAAAGTGGTACATGATCCTCAAATTTAGGGAGAAGGATGAGAGGTACAACCTATTGATTAGAGCTAGAAAGAATCTACTTATTGTGTTTGGAATTGCTCTCTACAAGAAAATTGCCCACTACTAACTTGACCAACAGTGAATTTAAAATAGTCAACCTATAAAATAAAAATATCCTCTCAAATATTTCCTGATGAAATACAAGTCACTGGAAAAGTTTGTAAACTTGTGATTTATATGTATATTCAAAATAAGACAAAGGCAAATGAAGCTGTCTTCATGGATAGACAGTTAAAAGTACTTTCAGAAGAACAGATTATACTCTGCACTGACCAAGAAACAGAAATCATTCTACCTAGACTAAGATCACGTAGATTATACCTATCATATGGGCTACTCCTGAATACTTCATTTAAATTTGATTGTCGAGGTAGTGAGAGATTGGCAAGGTTTGTCCTGAATAGTGGACATAAAAGAGTTCTGAATTGCCTTTCTAATGACTGAAATATATTCATTAAATAAACGATGTATCATTTCCCCTTATCATGACCACTAAACTATAAATTGATATAAACTGGGTTTTTCTGGAACTGCATACAAATAATGAAGGCTTAAAGAACCTTGGCTGACATACATTTCCAATGTATTGGAGACCAATAAATAACATGCAAGTATAACCTTTACAAGAGGCTGTTTCTGTGCTAATCTCCTATTTTGATGATTTTTACTTTGAAGATACGAATACCTAAATTGTACCTCTAGGGGGAAAAATGTTAGTAAAAAGTTAGAAGTACATTCCCCCCACTTGTAAAATAAAGTTCTAAAACTGATTTCAGAAAGTTTCAAATATTACGTTCAATATGTTAGTTTTGAGATTCTAGGATTATACTGTGATTCTTATGTTTACAGCGAAGTCAGGAAAGTAGGGGGTAATTTTTCTAGCTTGAAACTTATTTATGTTGCCTTGGTAGGTCTTTTACCATTTTAAAAAAATTTAGTGTATTCAACTGTAAAATAGCTTTTCTAGTTACTAGAGATGTTTTGAATTTCAAAAATGAAATGAAGTCTTTCTAAAATAATTCCCCTCTGGAAACTCTGGTACGCAAATTTAGTAAGGTTTAACTTACAAAATTTTATGATTTGATAAAGTATAATATCTAGAATACAACATCTTCTAAAGGCCTTTTATCTGCTCTTAACTTGCCAAATCTTATTTTTTTGTGTGTGTGTCTAGTATAGTTTATTAAAAACTATGGGATTTTACCAGAAAAAAATCTGGTAACAGGTATCTGTTGATACCTAGAGGGCTCTCTTGATAGTCTGCATGCTATGAAAACTTCTTTATGTAGGCAGTTGGTTATGGGAAATTAATCATCGCTGAATTTCGCATTACTAAAAAAACCCATCATGTTTAACCAGATATGTAACACCATTGATTCTTATGTGAAAGATTGAAAAGCAATCTCAAAACTGCCTTAGCACGAAGATTCTAAATGATAGTAAAACAAACAATATATTCAACTTTAATTCTTTTCTCATTGTTAACGGGAAGTTCATTTATGGTTCTACTCAAATGTACAAGAAGGAATATGTATTATGGGTTTATTCTTTTAATAATATTCCCTGGATACTTACTTACAAACACACTGATCAGTATACAAAGGTAACCACTTAAAAATATTTAAGGATATTTTAAGGATATATATATTTGTCAAGGAAGCTTCAATACCTCCTCCCTGCCTCCCCCCATCACATATTTCTTTCATATTTCCCTTTCTGGAAAGTACTGATGAATGAACATTAATTATAACTAGCATAATTTGGATCCTACCAATTCAGATTTATAGTTGACCTATTCATTATGAGTTAAATATTAATGTAAACACAATACTCCTATTTGAGAACCTCAAATACACATGTACACACAAATACACTCGAAGAGATAACTGAGCTGTTTTTATCATTGAAAACAGGCATTTTGAAGTAGGCGTTCTACATAAAAACATCTGAGTTGGTAGTACAATAAACACTAAGACCAAAATATAGTTTATTGTATTTAAACTTGATTCTTTTGAAAGGTATAGAGTGGTCATCCCCCAAGTATAATTAAGTTTTACCATAAAGTCACTTAGAATAATATTAGAAGTTTCTGCTTTTTTGTCTGTTTTTCTAGTCCAAATTTTGGAGGTAAAAGAATACATCCATACTATCCTTTGGCTAGTTTTTTCCTTTTTTCAGGGATCTTCTATAGTACTAGTCTCTGATTATTTCCTAAAACAGTTTTTTTAAGGTGGTGAACTTAATGCATTACTTACAATGTATCAAATTACTTATATCACTAAATAATCAATCTTTAAGCTCTCATAGCTTAATTCTAAGATCAATGTCAGGTATATTTGTGAACTCAATTACTTTCTGCCTTTTATAGCTGGCAGACCAAGAAAGATATTTTATTTTTTTCCTCTCTTGAACTTCTCCCAAAAGAGGAAAGGTGATGCTTATACGATCCTGCCTAATTTAAGTCAACACTATAGTGCCTTAGAGTTATACCACTGCCTTTCAAACTTATGTGCATATGAATAACCTGGGGTCTAGCTAAAATGCAGATTCTGATTCAGTAGATCTGGGGAGAAGCCTGAGTCTGAATTTTTCATAAACTTCCAGGTGGTGATGACACCAGCTTGTGGACTACCATGTGAGTAGCCAGGCCTCAAAGAACATTAACTAAAACTGTATGGAGTCACCAAGGTTAAGTTGATCAAACTACACAGTGAGTATTGACAACATTCAAATCTTTTTTTAATGTTTCATGTATTTCTTAAATAATTATGCAAAATGTACCTCTCGTATAAACTACAGTGGGAAAAAACCTTGAAATTGCACTTTTATTTAAAATAGTGAAATATGGTTATCACATCTTTCACTTTTACAATTAATACATGTTGGAATCTTATGAGTATTAAAATTGATGAAGGTATTATACATAAACACAAAAATGGCATAAAGTAATATCCAAAATGTGGCAGTATTTATAGAATCTAAAAAATATATTTTCATTATAAAAATGGCAGACTAATTTGAGTTTGAGGTAAATGAAGAGACAGATTTAGGCCATTTAAGAAAGAAGATAGAGGAAAATGTCATATCCATATTTTAGGGAAGGTCAAAGAATGCTAAAGAGCTTGACCTGTTACTGTATTAATGACTTCAGACATTATGCATATACATACTACACAGTATTTAAACAATACAACATAAAGGGCAGAGAAAGCAGAGGGACTGGCCCAATCTGTTCAAGGAAAAGGTAGAATAAAAAATTTAAAAATGTAACAATCAGGGCCAAGCCTGTGGCGCACTCGGGAGAGTGCAGCGCTGGGAGCACAGCGACGCTCCCGTCACGGGTTCGGATCCTATATAGGAATGGCCAGTGCGCTCACTGGCTGAGCGCGGTGTGTCCCTTTACTGGCCAGCTGCCAAATAAATAAATAAATAAATAAATAAATAAAAATAAAAAACTCATTTTCCACTAAATCTCTTCCAGGTTTTCTTAATTATTTCTTTTACTTCAAAGTTAAGCAGAAATAGCTTAACAATGTACCCTCCTTACTAAAACCAACTTCAGTGCCAGGATCACTGGAAAGAGTCCCACAAAGGCTAAAGACAATCTATGAAGCTCTGTAACTGTACTAAATGAAAGTAGACTTCCCTGGCATTTGTTTTGGGGAATAGCTATAAAAATTCCAAACATCACTCAGGTTAGAAACCTACAGCAAAGAAAGTTTACGTTTAATTATAGGCAAAGCCAAGAAAGAGTGAAATAAAAATGTTCATTTAATCAACTACAAAGACCTCTCCTGCAGTCCTGACAATTGGGTATTTGTTATGTTTATGGTGGCTTTACACAGCAAATTTAATACTAGTGGAATTTTAGAATTTCTGAAATATAAAATAAGTTTGAATTAGAATGCTGATGAATACATTTGTATTTGGAATGTATTTTAACAAAACCAAACCAGAATCTTAAGTCTGAAATAATATTTTTAAATGTTCTACTCAGCTCTTTGTTAAAAAATTAAATCATGATTTTAAAAGCTTATATAAAATAATCTATGCATCAGAAAGACAATTTTATTGATAGTAATTGAGGCCTAATTGATATGTTATAAAACATGTAAGCATTCCAAGGATGACTTACCATCTTCTTATACAAGATTGCAAGATGCTTCACTGTATATGCCAAAGAAAATCCAGTAACATAAGCACAAAACCTATTTCTTTATTGCCCAATGGGTACCCATACCCGTTTCTTACCCATCAATGGGCAAATGCCAAAAGCTTAAAGACAATATTATATAGAGAGATGTAGAACATCTCCAAATTTAAAAACTAAGGCTATGCTCTGAACTAAACAGTTGGTGTTTTACACTAAGAGGAAGAGACCACCTTAATATCTAACTTCAATAATTTCTCAAGTATTAAAGGAAGCATTAGAAGATAAATAATAAACTTAAATTTTCTTTATTTTTACTGGGCCATATCTAACTCATGTGTATATATATATATTTTTTTTTTTTCATGTTTATATTTTATACCTTAAGATCATTCATTTATAAAGAGTTAAAATGTGGGAACTTACCATTTGGCTATAGAGAACAGCTAAGTTCACCAAGGCAGTAGCTACACTAGGGTGCTTTGGGCCAAAGGATTTCTGTCGAATTTCAACAGCCAATTCATACAAAGGTACAGCTTTGTCAAGTTTTCCCTAAAAAACAAAAGTGAAATCTAAAAAAAATATTAAGGCTATAAATACTATCTTAACAGAACTTTGTCCATAAATAAAGTTTCATATTAAAAGGTAATTTTGAGGAAAAAAAATCAGAAGCATTTCCTCCCAGTTTAATGGTTAACTTTATAGATAACTGAAAATTTAATAGAATACGTAAGTAAAGCTATATACTAAGTATAAAAACATTTTCTTTGATAATTCAGAAAGCCTTTTAGAATCACCCATTACTACTCATTGTTCTGTTACAGTAAAAAGATGCAAGTTAAAGTAGAATTGCTACTGCACATAATTTGGAGACCACATCAAAATAAAAAACTCTCCCTTTACTGGCCAGATGCCAAATAAATAAATAAATAAATAAATAAATAAAAATAAAAAACTCATTTTCCACTAAATCTCTTCCAGGTTTTCTTAATTATTTCTTTTACTTCAAAGTTAAGCAGAAATAGCTTAACAATGTACCCTCCTTACTAAAACCAACTTCAGTGCCAGGATCACTGGAAAGAGTCCCACAAAGGCTAAAGACAATCTATGAAGCTCTGTAACTGTACTAAATGAAAGTAGACTTCCCTGGCATTTGTTTTGGGGAATAGCTATAAAAATTCCAAACATCACTCAGGTTAGAAACCTACAGCAAAGAAAGTTTACGTTTAATTATAGGCAAAGCCAAGAAAGAGTGAAATAAAAATGTTCATTTAATCAACTACAAAGACCTCTCCTGCAGTCCTGACAATTGGGTATTTGTTATGTTTATGGTGGCTTTACACAGCAAATTTAATACTAGTGGAATTTTAGAATTTCTGAAATATAAAATAAGTTTGAATTAGAATGCTGATGAATACATTTGTATTTGGAATGTATTTTAACAAAACCAAACCAGAATCTTAAGTCTGAAATAATATTTTTAAATGTTCTACTCAGCTCTTTGTTAAAAAATTAAATCATGATTTTAAAAGCTTATATAAAATAATCTATGCATCAGAAAGACAATTTTATTGATAGTAATTGAGGCCTAATTGATATGTTATAAAACATGTAAGCATTCCAAGGATGACTTACCATCTTCTTATACAAGATTGCAAGATGCTTCACTGTATATGCCAAAGAAGGGTGATCAGGAGCTAACGCACGCCTCCGAATGTCTAAAGCTCTTTCATAAAGTTCTTCTGCTTTATCGTACTGTTTCTTTTCATTGCATAGAGCCGCCAGATTATTCAAAGACTGGGCACAGTCAGGGTGATCTGGTCCTAGAACTCGCTCCCTCATTTCTAAGGAACGCTTCAGAAACTGGTCGGCTATTCTATGAAAACAACCCCAAAATGGTTTAAACAATTTATTTTCTAGAGGTCAGAATCGTGAGCCCTAATTAAGTGGAGAACTGAATCATTTTTATTCTCAGATCCAAGTTAAAATGAAGGATTCCCCTCAAAACCCACTCTACCATTCCCATTCCTTCCTGCCCTTTTCCTGATAGTTTGAGAGCCTAAAGTATGGGGTGATTTCCTTTGGGATCACTGCCTCAATTCTCCACTTCATTTCTAAAAGACAAATATATAGATATTTTTCAAAACAAATTTTTTATATTTTAAAATTATTTGACAAAGTCAAACAAAAGATTTTGGTATTCACTTGTTCTTCCTTAGGAGTTAGTACTAATAATTTTAAATAAAAGAAACTTGTGTGAAGTGTGCTAAATATTTGTTACATTTTTCTTTTTTTTTTTTTAAAAGATGACCGGTAAGGGGATCTTAACCCTCGACTTGGTGTTGTCAGCACCACGCTCAGCCAGTGAGCGAACCGGCCATCCCTATATGGGATCCGAACCCGTGGCCTTGGTGTTATCAGCACCGCACTCTACCGAGTGAGCCACAGGCCGGCCCCTTGTTACATTTTTCTGACATCCAAAGTTTCAAATCTGTTACATTTTTCTGACATCCAAAGAAATCCAAAAACACTTCTTTTTCAGAAAGTATAAATATAAATGCCATTTTGAGTCTTTTAACTCAAAATGCCATTTGAGTCTCCAAATAAACTAATGAATAAAACTAACAGCCATCTGTATTCTTTTCTTTATTCTCCATTAGTCCCAAGTTTCTTCTTTTGTGAGGTCTCATGTACAGTATCTAAACAGACTCACTTTTCATAAATATTTAATACATACTAGGGAAGCTACAGAATAACTTTTTAGTTGAGAAACAATGTGAAAGAAAACAATAGAGAAAATGCCATGCTACTCACTCCAGGTTATTTTGTAGATAGTAGAGAACACCCAGTTCATTGAGGGTCCGAGCATTATCAGGTGTGTCCTTACCTAATGTAAGCTCTTCTAACTGTAGAGCCCGTCTACGTAAAAGGGCAAATCCATACTAGAGCAAACACAAAATTAAAAACAATCACTAAGTAGGAGCAATCTTTGATTCTGAAACAATATACTGGAGTCCTAAAAAAACACTTTCTCCTTTTTTCCCCTTTAATCTACATGACAATTATTTTAAGCATCACACTGAATTAATTTAATGGTTATTAAGAATACACACATATATTTTCACATAGCAACACATTCTAAGATTCATTAAAAACGATTTTGTGAAAATGCTATGAGGTATTTTAGCACAGTAAACTATGTCTCATCTTCTTAAAAAGGATTAGAGAACAGAATTAACTTGTACGTATTTACCAACCCCATTCTCAAAACACTTAAACATCAGGTATTTAAACATACACATAGCATTTTCAGTTAAAACAAACAAATATGCTATATTTAGATTTTATGAATAACTTACAAAAATGAAAATAATCTTTTGTGTTCAAGGGGAAGAATTTCTTCACACTTGAATATAATATAAAATGTTAACAACTTTTTTTATTCCCTTTTCCAACCCTTTAAAGAAAACAATTGAAGTAGCTTTAAATTCCATCTTCCAAAAGTTTAACCTTCAAATGAACTTTATAGTTCAACTTTTTAAAAGTCTAGTAAGTTGTACTTCTCAGTGATACTAATAAACATGTATTATAAGTAAAAAAATGTTAATCAGTACTTTTTTAGAAGTCACTTTAAAATCTAAAGCTCTTAAACACGTGAGGTTTATATACTTGAAATATTCAGAAATGCTCTTTTCCTCTTTGGTTCAAAACACAAAACAAAAGAAATCTCTCATTACCAAGTTGCCTTTTCTCCTTGTAGCTTTCTGACGAATTTTAAAAGACTTTTTCCTAAAATGCTCAGCTTGTTCATATCTTAAAAATAAAAAGTACATTAAGTCAAATAAAAGAAACACGTTCAAAGCATAATTATTCAGTGAAAAGAAAGCACTTCTTACATAGTGTAAAGCCATTTTGGTCTATTAACTATAGCATTATTCTGGAAGTGATAGTCATATGGAATTTAAAATCTCCAAAAAAAAGCCTTCATGAAACAAAATTTGACAAAAAATAAATCAATCCTTTAAGTTAGCTGATATTTAACTGTTTTTAACTTATTTAACTCATTCTGAATCTCTAAAGGACAACCTAACTAAATGAAAATTCAAAATTTTAGTATGCTATTGCATCTCGTTCTGCACAGGCTAATTTTTGGTCAAATATAAATGTGAAATTCACATAAAACTTATATGAAACAATACTTCTAAAAGACAAAAGAAAAAGTTTCAATATATATCACTTAACGATGGAGCAAAAGAAATAATATCTGATAAAGGAAGAGATGCCATTCAGGGGGTGCCTATTAGATATGAGACTTTTTATTATAGCAGGGATTGACAAACTTTATTTATTTTTGGCTAGTTAATATTTTAGGCTTTGTGGGCCATGTGGTCTCTGTTGCAACTAAACTCTGCCGTGAAAGCATGGAAGCAACCACAGATAATATGTAAGGGGAAAAATGTGGCTGTGTTCCAATAAGACCTTATTTACAGAATTGGACTTGGCCTGTGGGTAATGGTTTGCTGACCCTGTATTAGTAATGCACTCAATATTACAAAGCTAGTCAGTGAATAAGCCAGGATTCGAATGCAGAACTATATGACTCCAAAGTCCATGCCCTATCCTTCACACATCTTCAAGCAGAGATGAAACTTGTACTTCTAATTTTCTCTGCTTACCCCATGAAGACCCAGACCAAGAAATATTATTTGAACATTATGTATAGGATAAGGAAAAGTACACAGCCACAAAGCAAAGCCTACCACATGAGTACATTAAAAAACTGTAAATCCCATTCATACATTCAGAATATTACTGATCTAAATCTTACTTATTTTGTTTCTGATACAAAGTTGCAAGTGCCTCAAGTTCACGAGCAGTATGTAGATGGTCCACACCATAAGCATTTTCTGAGATTTCCAATGCCTGTTTATACAGTTGTTCTGCATTGCCAAACTTCTTCCACTGCACATACACACTTGCTAGCTGGTGGAGGGACTGAGCTACTCTTGGGTGATCTGGATCTAAAGCTGTTTCTCGAATTTCTAGAGACCTCTGTAAAGGCACCACAGCCTGGGGAAAAAAGGTCAAAGGCCAATGAAAGTGAGTGAAATGAGAAATTGTTTAACAGACACAAAGAGTGATTACATATTACAATGATGAACAAGCTAACTATCCTGATCTGACCATCACACATTGTACACAACTACTGAAAGCCAACTTTGTACCCCACATACATGAATAAATTATCTTATAAAAAAAAAGTGAGTGAAATGCCGTAAGATCTGTCATCTGACTAAACATTAAAGAACTCAGCACAAAAAATGAAAGCTACATTAACTCCTTGGAAGAAGGAGAAAAGAGTAAACATGAAAAGCCCACCCTGTCTCTGACTCCCCTTTGAGGTTACCTGACTGAGAAGGCCTAGATCCTTGAGAAATCTCCCCAGGGTTTCATAAAGATCAGCTAAGCAAATCATGTTCTCCTCGCCTTCACAGTTTTTCTCATACTGCTTCAATGAATCAAAGTATTCTGTTGCCATTGCGCTTTTGTCCTTCCCAACAAACTGCCAATAACTCAGCAACTCAGCAAAGTGTCCTCTGTTTCAACAAATAACAGTAACTTAATGAAAAACAGACTTTAAAATCCACTATAGAGTGAAAATGCCAGAATTCATATCAAGTTATTGACAATTTATTAGAAGGCAAGTGTAGTATAGTGAGGCAAGACTCAGATTGTCATCTAAGTCTCACTGCTTCCTAGCTCTGTGATCTTGAGCAGGATGTCTGACCTCATGTGCAGAAATGCGGCCACCAACAATAACTGCCTCAGGTGTTACAGTTAAGATTATGGCACACAGTAAGTACTCCATTGTGTTGGCTATTACTAATATCATCATGGTTACTCACCAATGAAAATTTATCTGAATCTTTTTTAAACATTTCATGATATGCAGTCAACTGCTGAGTTCACCCAAGAAATTATTTTAAATGATGGAAATTAGAACAGAAGAAACTAATGAAACACAGGCAAACTATCACAGAGTATCCACTTCGCATTTTTATCATGTAATTGAATGACAAAAGTAAGCTTATTCATCTGTAAATGTTATTAAGTAGGATGGGAGAGCTGGTAAACTAAAGAACAAACCTGATTTCAAAGAAATCATGAAAAATTGGAATGGGGATCAGAAATGACTTAGGAGGTGCAACAAAAATTTGAGAGTTCACTTGGGAACAAAACAAATTAGCTATTTTATGATAAATGTCTAAATTTCTAAGTGAAGCAGACAAACCCCCTCATGAGGCTTAGTAGGTTAGAAGTTTGGCTCATAAAAAGGTCGTTCTGCCACTGATAAACATACCAGGAGAGACAAACAGAATACACTTATCAATCAGGGTAATCTTTTCTTTAAATTCAACACCAGTCAGATCCTATTTGGAGCCCAGAGTCTGGTTTGAAATCTACACTTTGAGATACGTGAAGGCCCTGAGAAGCAGACATCATACACTACCTCTCTGGGATGTTTAGACTGAGACCTGCTTAAATGCAAGAATAAGATATAAAGTTGTCCCAAGATCATTCCAGCCCTGTTTTTATGAAGCAGTAACACTCTATGTTTTCCTCTTGGAAAAAGTAGATCTCACAGCAATTTGCAAACTTTATTAATTTCTCCCACACTGTATTTCAGGTACCACCAAAACTGAACTAATTTTCAAGTTTAAAATGCTGTTTTTTCTTAAATTGAACAACTGAACAACTGTTGAAATCTATCTTTTGGGGGGAAGATGTTCTATAATAAGTTTCTTACCTCTTATAAAGATTTTGAGACACAAAGAGATTGAGAAGGCAATCGTGCAACTTCTGTTTACTTCCCTGCTGCTGATAAAGCCAAGGGAGTTCATCTGCACTTCTCCAAGTCACTCTGTCCTGACTATTAGAAAGAGTAGTCAACGCTCGATCATCTCTTCCTACAATGAAACTGCTTCTAAAAGGCTTCAGACCAATGTTGAAGGAAGAAAAATACATTTAACATATCTCTGACTCTTTAAGTATAATCCAATTCTGAGAAGGTTAGGCCTAAATCAGAAGCTTTTCCAATTTGCCTATGAAAGTAAATTCAGTAATATTCAGGACCATCAACCAAACTCTAAAGGTATCTTCTTAAAATTGAACTATTTAAAAAAAAAAAAAAAAACACTCACTGGACCCAAATACACACAGATACATGCACACATATTTTAAACTATTAAACTGGACTAAAATAAAAACAATAAGATGATCCGACCATCAACCAAACTCTAAAGGTATCTTCTTAAAATTGAACTATTTAAAAAAAAAAAAAAACACTCACCGGACCCAAATACACACAGATACATGCACACATATTTTAAACTATTAAACTGGACTAAAATAAAAACAATAAGATGATCGTGCATTAATTTCACTTCAGTTTAAACCTTCAGCATAATATTAAAACACAAAATCATCTTTTTTTCTTTTGACATTAACAGAATAGGGAGAGGATTTAATCTTTTTTGTAATAATTAAATTTTTATATTTTAAGTTAAAATCTAAGAAAAAGAAATAAAGACACAAAGATAGGGTGTGTTGCAGAAGTTACATAAAAATAATATGGAATTTATAGTACCTTAGCTGCAAGGTGAAATAGTTGATTAGCTTTTGCCTATATGAAGAAATAATGGTGGGACTTTCCATATACTCCAGTCTCACGGTTTCCCAAGCCTAGAGAGAAAAAAAAAATTTTGCATTCTACTTTATGTAAATCATTGCATATCTAACTATAAATTTGTAAAAAGGAATTTACAATGATTTCAACTTTATAGTTGTACAATAGAAATAACATTAGTATATTTTAAAATTCAGGATACACTTATGTGATAAACTGATATTAGGAAAAAAATCCTGTACTAATATTTAAGAACTCAAAACAATTCAAACTTTTAGTTAATACATTAAAAAATCTCAGATATGTGAAGTGAAAAGTTATTCAGAAGAGTAAATTATATTCAAGTGTTACACAAAAAGGAGAAAGATAAGGCTGTGAAATTACAAACATTTCTTATCTAAAAATATAATACAGCATACTCAAATAAAGCCTTCATTTTCATTTGTATACATATATGTGTCAGCCACGGCATTGTAGATGATAAGAATTACAGTCTCCCCTCAGTATCTGTGGGGTACTGGTGCTAGGACTTCCTGAGGATATAAAAATCCTCAGATGCTCAAGTCCCTGATATAAAATGGCATAGAATTTGCATATAAACTACACAAATCCTCCCATATACTTTAAATCATCTCTAGATTACTAATACCTAATACAATATAAATGTTATGTAAATAGTTATTACACTGTATTGTTTAGGGAATAACGACAAGAAAAATATCTGTATATATTCAGTTCAGACACAATTTTTTTCTGAATATTTCTGATCTGCGGTTGGCTGAATCCATGGATGCAGAACCCATGGATGCAGAGGCCCTACTGTATATCAGTCAACAGTTCCTAAAGATATACTACTATGTGCTAGACATCACGTCTAGTATCTCACAAGGACCACTGACCATCTTTGTTAATCCTCTTTACAACCCCTGTGGTAAGCTGAAAAAGTCTGCCCAGGGCTTAAAATTTGCCCAAGATAAGATAGCTATTAAGCTGTGAAGAGCTGGGTAATGAAAGGATGCTGACTGACTTCCAGAGTACAAGCTCTTAATACATATAATAATACCAACAGTTCGATGAAACATAAAGTTCAAAAAAATGTTTTTCTCTTCCAGAAATAAACTACCTTTTTTTGTTTTTCTAATTTTTGTAACAGGCTTTTCTTCTCTAAATTTTAAAAATTTTATTGTGGTAAGAACACTTAATATGAGATCTATCCTCTAAATAAATTGTTAAGTGTACAATGCCATATTGTTAATTATAGGGACAATGTTGTACATCAGATCTCTAGAAC